CCTCCCCCCGCCTGCCCTGCAGGCAGCTGCCCGGGCCCAGCGGTCCCACGCTCCGCGAGGCCGGCTTGGCCTGCGCTGTGTCCTGAGCTGGGTGCCGGCGCGTGCTCAGCATGGGAGTTTCTCCCTGGCAGGGCAGGGCAGGGCAGGGCAGGGCAGGGCGGTTCGGGAACAGGCGCCCCAGAGGGGCAGGCACTGGCCTGGCTGCAAGCCGGGGCGTGGCAGGGCCACGACGTGCTTGCCCGTGTGAGCAGGGCCTTGTGGCACTGTCCCACAGATCCTTCTGCCCCCCATTTTGCCCCTAGAGCTGTCCAGAGCCCGGGGATGATCCCCTGCCCTCGCCAGAGCCTGTGGCTCCCCTGGGCTCCTGGCAGCCCCACATGCCCGTGTCCGGCCGTGGCAGGCGGGCGCCCTCACATAGCAAGCAGGGGTCCGCTCGGGGGCACGAGCAGCCCTGAGGTGTCATAGCATCATAGACTTATAGAAGTCGGGTCGGACGGGACCTTGTAGACCTTCAGGTCCAACCCCCTGCCTGGGCAGGAGAGAAACTGGGCTCAAGTGACCCCAGCCAGGCAGGCATCGAGCCACTTCTTAAAGCCCCCCAGGGAGCCGGCACCCCTTCCCTTGGAAGTCGGTTCCAGATCCTAGCCGCTCTAACTGTGAAGTAGTTCCTATGGATGTCTAACCTGAACCTACTCTCCAACAGCTTGTGGCCGTTATTCCTTGTTATCCCGGGGGGCGCTGGGGGAAACAGGGTCTCCCCCAAACCCTTCTGGTCCCCCCTAGTGAGTTTATAGACGGTCACAAGGTCCCCCCTCAGCCTTCTCTTGTGAAGGCTGAACAGGTTCAGGTCCCGTCGCCTCTCACTGTAGGGTCTGCCCTGCTGCCCCCGGATCATGCGGGTGGCCTCCTCTGGACACCCCTTGCTGCCCGCGGAGGTTGGCCAGAGCTGCCACTGGGGATGGTGGGGGCAGTTCTCGGGCTTTTCTAGCCAGTCATCCTGGAAGCAGAAGTGCTGGGTTTCAGTTCAGCTTCTGCCTGGGGACTGCTGCGACGTGGGTGACGCTGGGACCAGGGGCTGGGCATCCTCAGGCTGTCAAAGGGGCTGCGTCATCAAGAGCCCCCGCAGGGCTGTTCCTGCCTCCAGGACCCTGGGCACAGAGAGCCAGGACGGGGCGTCCACAGGGCCTGGAGCAGAGGATTCCCCGGGGCCGGGGACCGGGCAGCCCCGGGGGAGTTCCACGCACCGCTGACGAGGAGGATGACGAGGAGGCTTTCCCAACCCGCTCCTACTTCCCTCTGCAACTTTCCAGCTTCTCCTGAGAGTGCAAACTCTAGGCAGGAAGGGGCAAAGTGCTGCGCCTGCCTGCCCATGGGACCCTGCGCGGTGCCAGGGCCTGTCATGCCGGGGGGACCCTTTCCGTTCCGCTCTTGCCCCACATCCGTGCTCGGGGGGCGAGGGTCGGTCCCCGGCTGCACTCTGCCCAGCCACCCACGCATGGACGGCAGGCCCAGCAGGAGGGCAGCAGCCTCGCCACGCGCCCACTCCCTCCTCCGGCCACAGACTGCCCACAGACACCCATGCGGCTGACAGACGGGATGCGACGGGGCTGTCCCTGCCCGGGGCATCAGCGCAATGGCCCCATGCCTTTCGCGTGGCTGCAGTGCGCCCGCGGGGCAGCGCCCAGCAGTGCCCGTGTCCCTGGCCCCGCGGCCCGGTGGCTGTCTGAGGGTGAGCCGCGCTCCCCTCGGTGCCGTCCCTCTGCCCGGGCCTGTGGCAGGGCGGCGTGGTGCCCTCCCCCACCGTGGTGCCTGGCCCCCAGCCCCTGCCAGGCGCAGCTGGAGCGAGGCAGGAGGGGAAGGGAGGCTCTGCCGGCCGTGTCACTTCCCAGAACAGCGTCTCACACGCCAAGCAGAGGTCCCAGGGGTGTCTCCGGAGCAGAGCGGGAGGGAGGGGCTTTCCGGGTCTGGGCTCGCACCAGGGCCTGGGAAATCCCGCACCGCCCTGCGGCTTGGCTGCCCAGGCAGCCTCTGCCGGCCCTCGCGGCCGGCGCCTGCCGCCCCTCGGCTCCCACGGCTGCCCGGCGCCGCCAGGCCCGAGGGCCCTTGTGGGGGCTGTTTCCAGCCCACTGGCGCCAGCAGCTCCCCACTGCATCCGGCACCCGTGAAGCATCGACATAACCGCCCGCTCCGGCACCTTCCTGGGGGCTCCCCGGTGCTGGCAGAGCAGTGCCGGGGCTGGCATCAGGGCCGTCCATGCCGGGGCACCGACACCGCGCGGAGCCCACCCTCCGGCACCGACGCAGCGGGCCCCTTGGCTGTCACCAGCACCACGTGGCCAGCGCTCGCGGCGTTCTGGCTCGTCTCTAGGCAAAAGCCTCGGCTCCAAGTCATGGGATGTGGGAGGCGCTGTGCAAAGTGCAGCCGCACAGCGCCCAGGCCAGGAGGCCGTGCCCGTTGCCTGCACCCAGCCCCGGGAGCCTGAGAGTTGTCTCAGATGCCCCCAGCGACTGCGCCCCCTGCACACCGCCCCCCTCACCCCCCACTGCCAGGGGAATCCCGGGGAGCCGCGTGGCTGGGACCGGGGTCTCGTGGTGCCACCCAGTGGCCATCGCGGGGCGCAGCCGCCACGGACGTGAACTTGGGCGTTTGCAGGCAGGGCCCACGCGAGCCACAGAGCAGGGAGGGGAACTCCCCCGTCCTGTGCCCACGGCCACTGTTGCCCTGCCGCGGGGTGGAGAGGGCACAACTGCCCCCCACGGGGACGTCTGCCACGGACAGTCCAGTGCAGAGCAACAACATCGCGGAGGCAGGAGTGGCAAGGACAGGCTGAAGGAGCTGGGGCTGAATCTGGAGCAGGGATTTGATCAGTTTTCCAAGCCCCGAAGGGCTGTGACAGGATGGAGATGGCTCTTCTCTGGGGCCGCAGGGGGCAGGACTAGGAGCAAGGACACAAAGCCTGGCGGGGGCACTCGTGGCGGGGGGCCCAGGCCGGTGGCGGGGTGGCCGTGGCCCCAGGCCCGGGTTACCAGGCTGGCAGGGGTGCTCTGTTTGTCCACCTTCGGGGTCGCGGGCCCAGCCCTCCACGCCACGGGCTGCTCTCCTTCGCGTGGGGAGGCTACAGACTAAGGGGACATCTGAATTCTTGGGACGATGGATGAAAAACGGACGGGAGCGCGGGTCAAAGGTCCAGAATACGTGCACGGAGCGGGGACGGAGCAGCGCCGGCCGGCCCTCCCTCCCTGGCGTCGCATCGTCGCCTGCACGGTGCGGGCCCAGCCCTCCACGCCACGGGCTGCTCTCCTTCGCGTGGGGAGGCTACAGACTAAGGGGACATCTGAATTCTTGGGACGATGGATGAAAAACGGACGGGAGCGCGGGTCAAAGGTCCAGAATACGTGCACGGAGCGGGGACGGAGCAGCGCCGGCCGGCCCTCCCTCCCTGGCGTCGCATCGTCGCCTGCACGGTGCCGGCGGACGCTGCCGCGTGCTCCGCCCGAGACGCGACGGGAGCGCAGCGGGGGACCAGCCCCCCCGGGCCGGCGGGGAGCGCCCACTGACCACTGGAAGCAACGGGGAGATTTGCACAGGAGATTTTAAGAAGATGAAATTAATGACGTTACGTCACGTTGTGGGAAAAAATCTCCCGGAACAGCTTC